GAAATATAACAAAAGTATTGATAACTGTCACCATCAGATTAACTCTTTCCTTATCCCCTAAAAAACAACCGGTCTCTAACTCTTCTGAACTTCCCACACGTTTGTATCCTCAAACCTAACAGAGTTGCCTGACATACCTTAGTACTAAATGAAGCAGTACGTATATGCACTTGCAAGTTACAGTGCATTTGGATCAGAGCATCCTCACGTTAAAAAGAAACGAAACTAAAAAGAAGTGATTAAGACAGAAGTTTTCAGGTTTGCTGGCATTCTCAGTGTCCACTCTATACTTTGAGAATGCCACAGGCAATGTCATCTTTCCTACTATCAGACATAACTTTCCTCAGCATCTTGCTTTCTTTTGGACCCTTCCATTCCCCAACGGGCGAATGGGAATGTACTGTTTTCTAGCCTCACACGAAGCCTAGCCATGTAAATTAGCATCCTCCATAAGGCCTGAGAACTGAGTACATGAGCTGAGCAATTCTAACAAGAACAATGACATTGTTTTCCTATTTGAGGAGGCAACTTTTGGAGATCCGATTCCAACAAACCATCACTAACGATACAGCATAACATATATATATAAATATATGTCATGGAAGGTATCTAGTTTCAGGGTAGCCAAAACTAGTTTAACAGAAAAATTCATTTTTAAAACATAAAGTCAAAGTGTAGGCAACAACGCGTTACTTCTAAACAAGCTGCAAATGTGCCCAATCGATGACAGCTACGCAGTTTACCTGTTCCAGCACATCCAACTTTAACTCCAGCTTGCTGAGCACCACATCTCCGCCCCACAGTGAAAGCTGCAGGTCTGACGGCTTCAAGTTCTTGATGTAGCGATTCACATAGCTCATTAAAATCGGAGTCACATAGGACTCCAGCATCGTTTAAGGTGCAGAGAAGTCAACGTCAGAAGCTGGAGGGGGTCAAGACAGAAATATGAGAAGTCACTGAGTCTGTGATGCAACGAAGGGAAAAAAATAAAAATAAAGGCACTTTTCGGGAGGGGTAGAAGAGGCCGAAAAGCAACAGTCCCCACCAAAGCGGCCGCTCGCCTCCTCCCAGAAGCAGAAACAAAACTCTAATTAGACTCTGCGTGCCGAGGAGCGGGAGGAGAGGCGGTCACCTGAAGACACCGACTCCCCAGGAAGAGAATGAAGTGCAGAGCTCCCCACTCCTTCTCATTCAGGACTCCACTTAGTCCTCAATTTCAGAGATGCCTTACCTGACCACCCCAACTACAGTGGCATCCCGCCCGGCGTGAGGCCGCTCCAGCGCGGCGCCACTTCCGGGTGTGCCGTCCTCGGTGCTCAAAACAAACTGTCCCTCCACCGCCACCACGCGACTCCGCGGCAGGACCGGAGTTCCCAGGCGGGGCCAGCCACTCAGCGCGTCCTGTGGAGGGAAACTTCCTGCGCTCGGCTGGCCGACGTCCCCGCTCCGACGCCGCCGGCGGTCAGGACCTGGCTTGCGGAAGTGCCGGGGGCAGGTGGGCGGACCGGAAAAGGGGAGACACCCGGGACCCGGAAGTGGCGCTCCGCGGGGAGAGTGGCCGCAGGTGGAGGAGATCCGGTGGAGTGTTGGAACGCCGAGAGCCCTGGAGGAAGAAAGCGGGCCCCAGCGTTCCAAACCCTGAAGAACAAGTGGCGGTTGTCTCTCTCGGGAAATGGAAGGCCTGGGAAGAGGAACTGGGGTTCAGTGGGCAGGACTCGAAGGCCGTAGGTTGGAGAAGCGGTGGCGGGGGGAGCAAACGCAGACCCGAGCTTCATTTGCTGGGGGGGAAAAAAGGTGCATATGAAAAGAGAAAGCGAAGTACTGGTGAAGGGGTGCGAGTTAAGAGGATGCGTTTTGTAAACAAGCCGTGGCGTCCTTTTATTTCAGTGCAGACGGGGTCGGCGTCACCAAGCTTGTGCTGCGGGGCCCAGAAGGCATGGTCCGAGGAAACCATGCCTCGGAGAGCATTGGGTTGCAGTCTGACTCGGGACTTCAGGAAAGGGGCGGAAATACCAGAGGAAGAAGGAAATGAGACTCTTACTAATAGATACACAGTGAAAAGAAATAGCAGATAGCCCTAACCGGTTTGGCTCAGTGGATAGAGCTTCGGCCTGCGGACTGAAGGGTCCCAGGTTCGATTCCGGTCAAGGGCATGTACCTGGGTTGCGGGCACATCCCCAGTAGGTGTGCAGGAGGCAGCTGGTCGATGTTTCTCTCATCGAAGTTTCTAACTCTTTATCCGTCTCCCTTTCTCTCTGTAAAAAATCAATAAAATATGCTTTTTAAAAAAAATAGATAAAGAATTCAGGGGTTTTAAGAGTCAGTGTTAGTTTTTATGAGGCTGAAAAGAATGTATAAAATATTTCCTTCTGGTACCCTGCAAGCTAACAAAGTCAAGCAACTCAAGCACTAACTTGGAAAAATACACACTGAGCTTACAGGATAGCACAGGGCATGTGGCCGACGTTTTTTTGACCAGTGAGTCTTATTTTTGGTAACCAAGGAGAAAAAACCCCTACCGCTGCATTTTGAAAATAAACAACTTGTAAAATTATTAAAATGCCCACCCATGTTGTCCTTGCATTTAATTGTAAGTACTTTAAATAAAGTAAATCCCTAAAAGCTCTTGACAAGAATTCAAGTTAGGATTTCTTGAGTTTTAAAAACTGCAATAGAAAATAGGCACAAGCGAGGATGCCAAGGTGTTTGGATTTTTTTTTTTTAATGAAAATAATGAACTAAGTTTAAAATAAAAAAGATGGCAGCTAATTGCTAATTCAGAGCAACTGTCCCCTCACAAAAAGCCTTGAAGAATAACCCAAGGAATTTGGGTCTTAACTTAAAACCCACTAAATTAGGCAAATATTTTAGCTAAGTAATTTCTTAGTGACCTGCCTCACCTGCAAGGAACAGATTGAAGCCATGACTAAAATACCACGTGTGGGCACGCATGTACAGTGCGATTGAAACATTTTGGCCCATGCGCAGAAGTCAGTATTTTGTGGAAGAGCCACAGTCAAGGGGCCAAAGAGCCCCATGTGGCTCGGGAGCCGCAGTTTGCCGACCACTGATCTAAGAGATGGTGATATTTCATTTTGTTCAGTTTTTCACTGAACAAAATGATGACGTTGCAACTTTTAAGCTACTTACATACTGTACTAGAAACCAAAAGTCGCAGGTGAAGCTTTTAAATACTTGAGTGGTATTTAAAAGTTTGAATAAAGTAGAGAAAGGCTCCTTTACTGTTTCGTTTTCTATTTTATTTAGTGTATGTATGAGATCTTCAAGAACTTGTATCCATGGCACACCTTATATATTATATGATAATAGGTTGTGTGGCAGTTACTAATTTTAACAGTTATTCAATAAATCTGTTTACTTTCCTACATGTGCACATGACTAGATTATTATTAGAGCTCTCTTACAGTCAGGTGTTGTCAAGTAACTGAGTTCTGAGCATTTGAATTGGGTTGAGGTAATGTAGCTACAGGGCTGGCTCATCAAAGTCCTCCCCATAACAGCTTTATTCTTTCTCCCATCACCAAATTAGATAAAATGCAACACATATGTAATACCTTAATCAATAAAGAAATTAAAGATAAAAATAAGATGCAACAGAGAAACCCAATGTCCAAGTGATGCCCAGGAGAAAAAGAATGGGAGAGTGAATCTGTGAACCGTTGCCTAGAGGTACACAAACTGCTAATTGGTCACATTCATTAGAATTTTGCATGATGGAAAAATCAACTACTGTTTACCTCCTGGGATTTGAGGGTTTAACTGTCGTAGCAGGAAATGTTACATTAAGGAACACATAAGTAAATAGATAATAGACATTAGCTAAAATTAATCCATTCAACTTTTTTACTTCAGGAACATGAGAATTGAAGTTAATTTACTTATGAATTATCATTGTTTAATTCAACTTTAAAATACATTTAGACAATCACTGAGTTACTCATTGAATACTTTGTACATGTTATTACACCTTGTTCCTTTTGTAACACAAATATGGCACGATGAGGAAGCTCAGACAGGGAAAGATTAAGTGAACTACCTATGGTCACAGCCTATCAACCCAACTCGTATGACTTCAAGTCTCAATTTCTTCCCTTTTGAGAAGGAACAAAAGAAACATAAAGTAAAACATGCTCCAACTATATGCTATTTATAACAGATTCACTTAGATTCGCAGACACAAAAGGTTGAAAATGAAAAGATGAAAAAAATATATTCCATGCAAATGGAACATATTAATAGACATTAGTGGCTATACTAATAGATTTTACTAGTAAGTCAGAAATTATTACAAGAGACAAATGTGGACATTATAGTCTGTTTCTGATCAATTGCTTTCTTCATTTCATTTAGCTCTTTTTCTGGAGATTCCTCACATTCTTTCATTTGGGGCCTGTTTCTTTGTTTCCCCATTTTTGCTGTTTCTTTGTGTTTGTTTCTGTATATTGGAGAGGATTGCTAAGACTCCCAGTCAGTGGGGTGGCCTTCTGTGATGGGTGTCTTGTGAGACCCAGCGTTGTAGTCTCCTTGATCTTCTGAGCTGGGTACTCTAGGAATGCCCTTGTGTGGGTTATATCTGCTCTCCTGTTATAATTGGGTCTTGATATTTGTAGCCCCATTTGTGCACCAGGCACTCAGCCCTCAATGTGGCTGCCTTGAGGCTCTACCCTGACCACATCATGCGAACTGTTATACAGATGCTGACAGAACAAGACCAAACTGAAAACAACACACAAAGGGAAACAAACCAACAACAAAAAGAATCAGAAAAAAATGAATACTAAAAGACCAAGAGAATTAGAGAAGAAAAGAAACCAAAAAAGAGGTTATGAAAGAATAGCAAAATAAGAATTTAAAAATAATAATAATAATTTAAATGTTATAACAGTGAACAAAATAAAATGTAGAAGAGGAAAAGAAACATGGCAAAAAGAAAGAGAAAAATAGAAGAAAAGCGAGAAATAAGAGATATGAAATAAAAAAAGAGAAATTATTTTAGTCCTCAACTGAGGATATTTTTTCCATTGTTTTTTAGAGACAGTGGAAGGGAGGGAGTCGGTGGAGAGAGAGAGAGAAAGATTGTTGTGAGAGAGATACATTGATTGGTTGCCTCCTGCACATGCCCTGATGGGGGCAGGGATCAAATCTGCAACCCAGGTATGTGCCCTTTACCAGGAATCGAACTCATGACCCTTTGGTGCAACGGCCAACACTTTAACCATTGAGTACATTGGTCAGCCTAGAAGAAGAAAAATGAAATATAAAAGAAAAAATAAAATGAAGACTCTTTAAAAATGCAATTTGCTTGCAAGATTCTTGTGCCTGCTGCAATTACTCTTTCCATCTTCTGTTTGTGGAGTTCCTGGATTTTGCTCTGATGTCTGAATCTGGACACGGTTTGCAGGCCCCAGGCCTCCCAGGAGATTCTGTGGTGCTAGCCAATGTCAGCCGCTGTCCCTGCCTGGCCCTGGGCAACCTGACTGAAGCTTAGCAGGGCTGAGCCCCAAGTAGTGTCTTCCAGATCTTTATTTTAGCCCAGATCTTTCTCCCTAGCTTCAGACCATCTGCCTAAATGCCCAGTTCAGATCTCTATTTGGATGCCCAACTGTTACCTCAGTATATTTAAAGTGAACTTATCACCCTGGCTGGGTAGCTCAGGTGGTTAGAGCATCACCTTTATATGCCAAGGTTTCAGGTTAGCCGCTGTCTGCCTGGCCCTGGGCAACCTGACTGAAGCTTAGCAGGGCTGAGCCCCAAGTAGTTCAGTGAGCTGGGCCGCCACAGCCCAGGGGCGGGGTCCCTTCTCTGAACCACTCTCCTTTCCCCCACAGAACTGCCCTTTGGGGGGATATCCTGAGTTTGGCCAGGGTGGTTTAAATAGTCTAGCGTTGTGGGTGGTGCCCGTAGCTTGTAGCAGGCAGGCTTCCCAGAGCTGCGCTGGCTGTCCTCACTGGGCATCTCCCCTCTCATTCCCCATAATGCAGCCAAAGGGCCCAGCACAACCACAAACACAGTGGCAATGCCTCAGCTCTGCCTGGTTCCCTGGCACCCCCTCGCTGCCACCCCAAGTAGGAGGGGATAAAAAAAAATTAAATTT